AAATCAATGTGATCACATTAACAATCTGAAGAATAAAAACCATATGATCATCTCAATAGATGCAGAGAAAGCTTTTGACAAAATGCAACCCCATTTATGATCAAAAACTCTACAGAAAATGGACACAGAATTTTCTTCAACATAATAAAGACCATATACAACAAACGCATAACTATCGCCATACTCAATGGTGAAGAGCTGAAAGCCTTTCCTCTACGATTGAGAACAAGAGAAGGAGGTCTACTCTTGCCACTTCTATTCAGCATTTATGGAAGGTCTAGCCATGGCAATCAGAGAAGAAAAATAAAAGGAATCCACATTGGAAAAGAAACTAACTGGAAAAGAAACTAACTTGTGTCACTGTTCGCAGATGACGTGACACTATAAATAAAAAATCCTACGGTGGCTACCAGAAACCTAGCGCTCATCAATACATGCAGTGAGGTGCGTGTACAAAAGAGATACACAGAAATCTCTTGCGTATTTACACACTAATAATGAAAGATCGGAAAGAGAAATTAGGGAAACAATCCCATTTAGCACTGCAACAGAAATGATAAAATACCTAGGAATAAACCTAGTATCTAAGGAGGCCAATAAACCTAGTATCTAAGGAGGCCAAAGACCCATATCCTGAAAAGTATAAGATGCTGATGAACAAAACTGATGATGATACATGGATAGAAAGACATACCACATGCTTGGATTGGAAGAATCAAAATTGTCAAAATAGAACATACTATTCAAGGCAATCCACAGATTCAATACAATCCCTATTAAATTACTAATAGTAGTTTTTCACAGAACTAGAATAAAAAAAAAAAAATCCCTAACAATCTGTACAGAAACACACAAAACCCAGAAGCCAAAGCAATCTTGAACAAGAAGAATGGGGCAGGAGGAATCAGGCCCGTCTTCAGACCACATGACAGAGCTACAGTCGTCAAAAGCAGCATCTTCTGGCACAAGACAGAGATAAAGATCAATGGAACAGAATATAAAGCCCAGAAATAAACCATGCCCCATCATCAGTCCATCATGAAAGGAGACGAGGCTACACAGTGTTGGAAAGAGTCTCTTCAACAAATGGTGCAGAGAAACCTGAACAGTTACATGCAAAAAAAAAAAAAAGAAAAGAAAAGAAATCAGATCATACCTTAACACTATACACAAAAATTAAGTTCAAAATGGATTAGAGCCCTAAATCTGAGACTGGACTCTTGAATCTCCCAGAGGAAAGCACAGACAGAGCACTCTCTGATATAAAATTGCAACATTATCTTTTTTGGATCCATCTCCCAGAATAATGGAAATAAAAATGAAAACAAACAAATAGCACCTACTCAAAAGCTTCCGCACAGCAAAGGAAACAATCATCAAAATGAAAAGACAACCCACAGACTGGGAGAAAATATTTGCAAATGATGTGACTGACAAGGGAATAATCTCCCAAATTTAGCAACAGTTCAGGACGCTTAACAGCATCAAAACAAACAACCCACTCAACAAACAGTCAGAAGACCTAAACATTTCTCCAAAGAAGACATACAGATGGCAAACAGGCACACGGAAAGATGTCTGACATTGCTATTAGAAAAATTCAAATTAAAACTACAATGAGATTTAGTATCACCTCACACCAGCCAGAACGGCTCTCATCAAAAAAATCCACAAACAATAAATGCTGGAGAGGGTGCAGAGAGAAGGGAACCCTCCTCCACTGTTGGTGGGAATGTAAACTGGTGCACCCACTCTGGAGAACAGTGTGGAGGTTCTTTAAGAAACTAAAAACAGACCTGCCATATGATCTAGCAACCCCATTCCTGAGTGTATATCCAGAGAAAACCATAATTCGAAAAGATACATGCACCCTTATGTTCAAAGCAGCATTGTAACAGCCAAGACGTGGAAGCAACCTGTGTCCGCTGACGGATGGATAAGGATGTGGTATGTGTGTTTACAATGGGATACTGTTCAGCCACTTTAAAAAATGAAACAGTGCCATTTGCAGGAACAGGGATGGACCTACAGATGGTCACAGTGAGTAAAATGAGTCAGACGAAGAAAACCGCCACAGGGTCTCCGTTAAAAGTCCAATCTGAACAATGATGCAAAAGAACTTATTTACAGAACAGGACCAGACTCACAGACTGTGGGGGGAAAGCGGAAGAGGGCGATCGATGAGGAGTCTGGCGGAACATGTGCACACACTATGTTTGATCAACAAGGATCTGCTGTGCAGTGGAGGGAACTCCTCCGCTCAGGGTTCTGCAATGACACACACGGGGAAGAACGTGAGAAAAGAGCAGAGACATATGGACACGTGTATAACCGAATCACTGCACTGTACACCTCAAACAAACAACACTGCAAGTCAACTGTTGTCGCGCAGCCGCGTCCGTTCTGCGGCCCCTGGACGGCGGACCCCGGGCTCCTCCGCCCGGCTCTGTCTCCTGGCGCGGCTCAAAGTCACGTCCATTCAGTCGGGGATGCCATCCAACCATCTATGTTCCACTATAAAATACTCTTAAAAATCTAACAATATGTTTTAGTTAACCCAAGAGATCCAACATAGTGTGTTAACAAGTTACCAACTTAAAGAATCGTAAAGGAAACACTTCACGTTACTAAGCGCTAAGTCTGAAACCAAGCTTCCTCTACAACCGCAGCTCTCAGCCTCCAGGCCGCCCTGGGAGCACAGCTCGAGACAACAGCGTGGCCGCCTGTGCACACACACACACACACACAGACACGGCGGGCTCACAGGCGCAGGTGCTGCTGAGGGCCCGAAGCTAAAGGGAAGGAGCGCACGACGTGCGGGGGCTGAGCCAGGGTTTCCAGCAAGGACGGCCTCCGTTCTCCCAACAGCCTCGCCCGGAGGAGTCCTAAGGACGCCAGAGTGAGCGTCGCCAGGAGCCGGGGCTGCCGTCCAGGGGTGCAGAGTCGGCCAAGACTCAGCGACGGGGCCTCAACAGCACAGAGCGCTGCGCCTCGTCACCCCAGGCCCGCGGGCGGAGGCCTTTCTCACAGGGACCCGGGGACGGACAGGGAGCCGCTCCCCTCGGGATCCCGTCTCCACCGAGTCCCGGGCAGGGGGACAGGGTCACGCAGGACCGCTCCTCCCTGGACGGACCCCCGAGCCCCAAGCGGCGCTGGGCGTCACGGGGGCATGGGGGCCTCGGACCGTCCGCCCGCCCCAGCGCGACCTCCGCGGCCTGACCCGCGGGAGAAACGCCCGCCGTGCTGGTGGCCGGGGCAGCACCGGGTCGGCCTGGGGGCTCCCAGGACCCCCTTTCCAGGGACTGAGCGCAGCCCGCCCTGGGGGTGTCCGTCTGTCCCTCTGGCCGCAGCGCTCCCGGCTTCCGCAGGGCCTCCTCTCAACAGTCAGCCGGCCACGCCCTTACTCCAGAGACGCCCCCTGACGCGGAGGTTTTCAGGATCTGGGTCTTTGCCACAAGTCTCGGACACCAGCTGTGCCAAGGGCCTCGTGAGTATCCCCGTCTGCCCGCCTCCTCCGCCCCTGCTAGAGCTTACCCTCGCCTACTGCACCCCAACACCACGCCGCACCCGAGAAGCCAGCAAAGCTCGACGGAAAACCGCCTGAGTTGGGCCCAGAGCCTGTAGCCGCCTGCAGGTCTCGCCGCGCTCCCCTCGTGGCCGCTGGCCGTCCCCGGGCCGTTCCACCCACTGCCCAGGACCGGGTGACCTCATGCCTGCCCTACACGTGGGTAAACTGAGGCCAGGAGAGGCCACGGAAAGCAGCTCCCGTCCCTCCTGACTCCACGGAGAAGGGCGGACGCGCGGGTCCCGGGAGGGAGCGGCCGGGCTCTGGCTCAGCACCAGGCGGCACCCTCCCTCCCCCCGGCTCCCCTCATGCCCTCCTGCCCAGAGGATGGCGGGCGCAGGGATCACAAGTGTCACCCGGCACCCGGACAGAAGCGAGACCCAGGAGCCCGAAGCCTGGAGGCGCCAGGCCCATGGGCGGCGCGGGGTCAGGACCCCAGTCCCGGGACCTCCTGGCTGCGGCGAGGCTGAGCCGGGAGGTGGGGCCCCACGTGACCCAGGGGCCCGCGGGGCTCCGTCCTTGGGGCCACACCTGAACACCCCCCGCTCGCGCCGGGAGCCTCAGACCCGCACTGCCGCGCGCCCTCGGAGGCACGAGGAGCGCCCCGCCCACCACACCCGGAAGACGGCCGGTCCCTGCGGTGCACCGCATCAGGCAAGCTGAGCTTTACCAACTACAGGCATGGGCACAAGACAGGCAGCCCAGCTCAGACGTTTCATTGTCCCGAACATTTCTAGGCTCATCCAAGACCCTCTGATTTCACGAGATGGTATGAGACACTCAGGATCCCTGGCACCTGCAGGTTCCAGAGTAACCGTTCTCGCTCCTGAGATCCAACTTCCCTAGGAAGACACACACACACACGTGTGTCCTGCATGACTGGACCGTCCAAGTCACACACACACTTGTGTGTCCCACACGACTGACCTGTCCAAGTCCTCCCTCCTCCTCAGGAGAAGGAGAGTGTATCTAATTACAGTAGCTGGATTTGCTTGGCAGAACTGTTTATACCTGAAGCTAGGAAAGGTGTAACACAAAGAATAATCGATGATTTCAAACACCTCGAAAGCTCACGTCATTCTCCCTGCATCCAACTTCCTCCAGAGACCCTGCACCCCCACACCAGGCGGGACACGCCCCTGCTACCTCCACAGCTTCCCTGCCCGAGGGCACCAGCCCAGCCAGCGCTGGGCAGAGGACGGGCGTGACGGGCCCTCACACCTCCAGGGCCCAGGAGCCACGGTGTGGGGCTGCGGGCCGCTTCCCAGGCCACCCAGAGGGGCCCCCACCCCAGGGGGAGTAGGTGGTGCTGCCCAGCTCCGGGGGGGGCGCCCCTGGCCATCAGGCAGCAGACCCAGAGCCCCGGGGGTGTCCCCAGAGGCACCCCAGCCCCTCCTCCCCACCCACCCCAACGGCGGGCATGGAGCCCACCTACCAGGATGTCGAGGCAGGCAGCCTTCAGTAGGGTGATCTGGTCTGCGATGGTCAGGCCGGTGAAACCTGGCAGGCGTTTGGCAAACTCCACGATCTTAATAATGCACTTGGTGGCCAGTTCACTGAATTTGTCCCAGAGGCCCAGGTCCAACCGGACTCGATGGTCAGCGCTGGAATTCTACAGGGAGAGAAAATGTGGTCAGGGCTAGTTGTGGGAAGCCCGGCGGAAGGCAAAGTACCGAACACCGCTCCTACTGAACGTGCAGACAATTCCGTCTTCACCAGGGAGCCTTGGGGCTTGGGGGCAGGGCGGGGGGGTGGTGTGCATTGTTGGTAGTTGACATTTTAGCTTACATTCATCTTTTTTAAATGATCAGAATCTTATCCCCCAGACCAGTGGATAACCGAGTAGTGGAGAAGCTCTCTTTAGCAATTACCCCCCCAACGAATGAAGGGATGGGAGGCGGCGTCACTGTTTTGTAACCTGATGAACCGATGGCTCCATTCGACCCGGGAAAGCCAGGATGGCCACGGGCAGAGGGCCCTTCCTGGGGACACCGAGATGCCGCATCCAGCCTCACCGGACCACACCCGGGTTTTATAGTTTAGTCCAAGTTGATCTCCATTTGGCTTCTATCACCCACAACAGGAAGATGTCTAACTGATGTCGAGTTACAGGTTAAGATGGACTAGGGGTGAGAGTTTCACATTCCCCTCACAGAGAGGTGTCAGGACCCGGGGAAGGGGTCCTGCCCCAAGGCCCCCAAAACCTCCCGCCTGGACCTTCCTCATTCCGCCCTGGCCTCCTCACAGTGAGTTCTTTAACCAAAGGCATGTGGGCATCCTTTTAAAGCCTAAGTCACAGCGAGTCACGGTGCTGCTAACACGTCTCATCTCACTGAGGTTAGAAGGCCAAGTCCTCCCCGCGGCCTGCAAGGCCATCCAGCTGACTCGCCTCCCCCAGATCCCTTCCGCCCCTGGGCAGACGCACAGCGGGGCCAGCCTCAGGCTCTCTGCAGGGCCGCCCCTCCTGCTGGCCTGCCCTGCCCCTGGGTGCACCCCTCGCCCCCAAGCCTGGCATGCCTGGGCTACCCCAGCCACTCCATGACAACCCCTGCAGGGGCCGCCTGTGCTCCAGGCCTCAGCCCCAACACACCGCCCTGTCCCCAGGGGCCACGCCCTCAGCAGGGGCGCTCAGCACATGCTGAGTACATGGCTGAGTGAGGAGCTTCCCGAAGCCAACGCGAGGATGAGGCTGACCAGGGAATGGGGGACCTGGCAGGCAGGGAGAGGCAAGGTCGCGGCTGGGGCTTGGGCCTGGACCCCCTGGGACACAGCTGAACCCAGAGCGCTGGAGGCTCGGCTCACCGAGTCTGTACACGGAGCTCTGCTTGTGAAGGTGGTTGAAGCTGCAAGGGAGCCATGCGTGAGGGCTGCTCAGAGCCCCGACGCAGGCAGAGGCCGCGGTCCCGCTCACCGCCCCAGCCGTCCCCGCGGACCTGGCGCACCCGGGCAGCGGGAGGCCTCCGAGTCCTTCCGGCGGTGCGCCCGGCGCTCTGTCTGGCCGTGGGGAGGTGACACGTGGGTGGGCATGAGCAGGTGAGGCCCCTCATGACAGAGGGTCTGTCCCCGCCTTGCCGGCATGGGGCGGAGCGCAGACCTCCTCGGCTCGTAGGAGGGAATTGGCCAGGCGCCGGCAAAGAGCGCAGAACCATCCAAAGGGCAGGCGAGTCTCACTCACCATGACACAGACTGAAGCGAAGAGGCGGCTGACAAAACACAACCACCAGGTGTGTCCCTACTGGGGTGCTGGGCCCACAGCTTGAGGTCTGAACCCAGCCGTCAGTGCGAGCTCGGCCCGCTCGGGGCGCTGATGGAGGTGGCTGGGGGGCACCAGGGAAGGAGGGTGGGGGGACGGGCTCAGAGAAGCAGAGCCCCCCGGAGGGCAGGACCCAGCCTGCCCCGCGAGGGCTGAAGGCGCCCCCCAGGCCTCTGGAGCAGCGGCCCAGCCCAGCCCCACCCAGATATGCAGGGAAACGGCCACTATGGTCGCGCAAGGCGCCCCCTCCCCGCCGCCCAGCTCTCTGCTGCTCTGACTGGAGTTACTTCCAGAACAAGGCCCAGATGTGGAGGTGGGGTCGCGGGGACGTCAAGCCCGTCTGCAGAAACTCTGAAAGGGAACACGGAGCTTAGGGTCCCGGGGGCGGCGAGGGCCTCAGGGGGCCCAGTGTCTTTGCCCTGAGAAGCTGAGGCCCTCCTGAGTTTCATTGGAAGCATGTTCCCGGTGTCCACGGTCACGTCTCCAGCAGAGATGCTGCTCGCAGAGCAGCCCCTCCTCGGGGCTTCCCGGGAGCCAGGCCTCTTCTCAGCACTGGACACGCACTCCAACTCCCATGACCGCTCACCTGGCGGGTGGATCGCCGCCCTCCTGCAGACCTAAGCGAAGTGAGCTGCAGTCTGTGGCCCGGCCCACCCCTCGGGGCACTGCAGAGCCTGGACTTTGTCTCCGGAAGCCTGTCTCCTGGTTGGAAACCCCTGAGACTGGAAGATGCCGGGCCTGGCCATGGCAAGGGCGTGACGCCCTGCACCTCCCTGTGGTCCAGAGACTCAGCGAAGAAGCAGTCGGGCACGTCCGTCCACAGGAGGATGGGGTACAGAGACCCCAACACACATGCTGCGTGGTCCTCAGACCTGGGTGCTTCCGACAGCCCTGCCACTCCGGGGGCGGGGGAGGGCCCCCCAAGACGTCTGGCGAGAAGCAAGGGAGATGGGGCAGGATCTCCCTGAAGACGATGTTTCAGGGGTGCTCCTGGACCCCCCTTCTAAGATGCCTGCAGGCGCCCTTCTAGCCGGCCAGGTGGTCTCAGCAATCAGGGGCCCTGCTGGAGGGCAGGGCCTGGGCCTGGGGTACCAGCTGCAGGATGGAGCGAGACCGCCGCTCCTCCTTGGGATCCAGGGTGCTCTGCAATCCACGCGCGCTCCTTCTCCAAGTGGACTAAGGGCTCCTCATGGCCCCACAGTGCCACTCCCCACACCCCCAAGCCCCGGGAGGGCAGCCTGCATGCCCAGGCTGGGCCCGCACCTCCTGGAGATCACCTCTGTCCCGCCCCGTGGAACCAGGCCCAGGTGAGGCCGCACAGGTCCGGGGGGGGGGGGGCCCTGCCCACCTCGACTGTGTGTTGGAAAGGCGGGTTCGTGCCCCTCTTTAACCTCCTTGGCAGCCCCCGCCCCAAGTCCCGAAACACAGATGAGCGGCAGGGCTCCAAGGGGGCTCCAAGGTCACGGAGCTCCCAAGCAGCCCGGGCAAGGCTTGAACCTGGGCCTCGGAGGCCCTCAGACCTGGACGCCACGGCAGTGCTCAGTAAGGAAGCAGAGCTAACGTCCCGGCGCTGGGCTGCTTCCTCTTTGGAGGGTGGGTCATCCACCGCCTGCCCCCGCAAGGACTCCTTCCTTGCCTTGTTTTTGGGGGAGGGGTCAGAAGTCTCCCCAGCTCCTAAGCTGAGCCTGCAGCTTAGCGCCTGCCCAGGCCTGGGCGTGGATGGTGGGAGCCAGGCTCCTGCCCTCCCCTCCCATAGCCTCCTGGGCCCTGACTAGGATCCCAAAGTGAAAGTTGCTCAGTTGTGTCTGACTCTTTGCAACCCCATGGACTACACAGTCCATGGGATTCTCCAGGCCAGAATACTGGAGTGGGGAGCCTTTCCCTTCTCCAGGGGATCTTCCCAACCCAGGGATTGAACCCAGGTCTCCCACACTGCAGGTGGATTCTTTACCAGCTGAGCCACAGGGATGCCTGACTAGGGTCCCAAATCAACCCTAATTAGGGAAGAGAAGGAGCTACTCTTTCGAGGATCTGGAGATGGGCAGCTAGTTGCCTTTTTAACTCCTCTCCGCCTACTTCTGCCACAGGCGTCTGATGAGGGTGCCAGCCTGGCAAAGGTGCACAAAGTCCCCTCGCGGTGGGAGCCATAGCCTGTAGGAAAGCTTTTTATAAAAAGAGCTCATCCCAGAACCAAGAGCCTGCAAAGAATGTATTGTACCGGCTGTTACTTATTTACTTCTGAATTTTACTTATTTACTTCCAGAAAGGACTGCAAGTTGCTTACAATAAAAAAAAGAGCTAGACCCCGCGCTCTGGAGTGGCTTCTGCAAGGGGTCAGGAGATGGGACTTAACAGCCACACTCCCCACTAGATCCAAAGAGGCAAGGAAAGGGGTGCTGGAGGCTCTCAGGGAGCCCCTGTCTGGGGTTGAGAGCAGACCCTGAGACTAGGAATCGAACACAAGCTGCTCCTTTGAGCAGAAATTCAGGGAAGCATAGGGGAGGCGAGGGTGGTGGGAGGGGGTTCCACCTTGCCAGGGAGCTGGTCATTCTCTGCCATCGGGTGGGGGTTGCTCCCAGGAGTGTCCATTACCCCAACCCCCCGTGTGTACCACACTCACCCCACAGCCACACAAAGCCTTGAGGTGTGCGGTAGGCCTGCCGCGTGAGCCCCCCAGCCTGGAAGCAGGTGGGTCAGACCTCAGGCCCAAAGAGAATCCCAAAGGAGAGGCTCCCCAGGAGGAGGGAGGTGGGGAAGGGGCCAGAGAGGCCCACCCAAGTCCTGGTGTGCCGACTACAGACGGGACCGTCCTGAGGCGAGGTCCGGTCCCAGGTCACGTGCTCTAGAAAGGCAGGTGCCATCCGTACTTGTGTTTGCCTTGCCCTCCAGGCCAGAGTGCCGCCACTTTACCTGATGACCAGGTGAGTCAGGGTCTGCAAGATGGACGAGGCCACCCTAAGACATCCCTGCCTGCAGAAGAGGGCTGGGGCCCCGACCAGACAGCAAGTGACCCCTCATCTGTCTCTCACCGCTTGACCTGGCTCAGAAGCTTCCACCTCAAGGAAGCTCTCCCTGCTGTGACAGTTCTCTTTTTCTCTGTCTTCTGGAGCAAAAGGTCTGATTTATTCCTGGTTAACAGCCCCTTCTCCTACAGAGATGCCCAGGGGCTCCTGCCTCCATCCTGCCTCGCCGCCCACCCTCCTGAGGTGCAGGGCACCGTCCGGGGTTAAAAGAGCTGCCTTGGAGTCAGACTGCCGTGTCTAAGGCCACTTGGTATCTATGGGACGCGGGGAAAAGTGACTTACTCCTCTGGGGCCTTGTGCCGGCCTCAAGGAGGCCTTGGAAGGAACCAAAGAAATCACAAGGTGAGAGACTCGGTATGGCCCTCGGCACGAACTAAATGCTCAGTGAGCATTGGCTGTAGTAACGATGACGGTAACCGTAATAAAGATCCCTCATCACAAACTAGACTTCTCTCCACTGCTTACAGACTGAAACCCAAAACCGAGGCAGAGGGAAGTCAAGTAACGAGCACACAGTCGCACCGCTGCTTGGTGGTTAAGCAGGATTTAAACCATATACACCTGGTGCCTGGTTCCTGATTCAGAGCATCACCCAGGTCTCTGGCCCTGCTTCCCCCTTCCAGGCTGACCTCAAAGCTCCCAATGCTGCCCATCCTGCATGTGCTCTGGGCTGGATGGTACCCTGAGCTCAAGGGGACTTGCATACCAGGTCAGTAGCCAGGCCAGGTCAGCACCTTCACAGATGGGCCAGCATCTCTTCTCCCTGACACCAGGGCATGGGGTGCCGGGCCCAGAATGTCATCCTGGGTCTTGCTACTTGAAGTGCATTTGTGGCCTTTGCTACTCAAGAGTGTGGTGTGCAGACCAGCGGCACCTGGGAGCCACACCCGCTGAATTAGAACCTGCACTTCAAAGGCCCCAGGTGCTCTGTAAGCTGGCCAAGGGGGAAGCAGGCTCTCGGTTCCTCCTTGTCGGCAGGTCCGCCAGGGGACCTGTGTCCAAGTCCAGGGCCAGCTCTTCAGAAGCTGGTGCCACTGACCACACAGCCTGCAGGCGCCTCACTCACTCTTTTTCTGGCACCATCATCGCTTCTTATCTCTATGACCTTTCATGCACTTCTTTTTCCAGCGCATCAGTCATCGAATCAGCAAAACGGCAGCATTTGGAGTTTTTACAAAAGAACCTGCATCTTAGGTGGGCAACGTGAACTTAAGAACCCAGAATAACATTCGAGTTACACTCACTCATTCTTAAGGGCCTATCACCTGCTACTCACTAGAAACACATTTACATGTCAGTGAACACGACACGCACAAACATCAGTTTGAAAAATCCAAACACCTGACGCCATCTCCCCGGCACATCCAGAGCAGCCAACACAGGCTTCCTGCCCCGCCTCCCCACCTCCCCTTTCTCTTCATTTCAGACCCAGCGAGCCAATGCCGGGGGAGGAGGGGGGGAGCGGAGGGCCTCGCGGGGCAGCCCCCCTTTGCTTTCCCAGGGCCCCTCCACCCTCGTCCTTCAGAAGCCTCGCTCCCCGCGGGCGGGCTCTCCCAGCTGAAAAGCCCTGCACTCTCCGCGGCTGTCTGCCGAGACCGCCGAGAGCTCCTCGGCTCCTCTCGGCCCCTCCGCCCAGGAAGAAGTCCCCGGGAGCAGGGGCCTCCGGGTGAGGACGGGTCCCACCTGTGCGTTGTGACTGTGAGGGAGGAAGCGCCCACTCGACGCAACCGCAGTTGAAATCCGCAGATTGGACGCGGTGGTGAAGAGTCCCCTTACCGAGCCGGGTCCCTCCAGCCGAGGGTCGGCGGGCGGGTGGGCGCACGTGTCTCCGCGTCCGTGCTAGTGCGGCTGCACGACAGGGCGAGGGCGCATGCGTGCATGAGCATATGCAGGAGTCTGTGCGTGCGTGCGTCTGTGCGTGCGTGCGTCTGTGCGTGCGTGCGTGGCGGCGCGGCGTGGGCGGGGCCTCTCACCGTGGTATACTTGCCCAGCTGGCAGAGCGAGGGGAAGGTTTCCTGGTGAGCCTTGCGGATCTTCTCGGTGAGGTCGTCCAGCTCGGCCGTCATCTCGTAGCTCTCCGGGCACTCCTGCTTCGAAGGCTCCTTCTTCTTCTTGTTCCTGTCATTCCTGACCGCTGCGGACGAGAGAGCAGAGAGACAGAGCAGGGTCACCAGAGGCCGGGCTGTGCCGCCGCGTGCTGCCCGGTGCGGGCCGGGGAAGGCGGTCGGCACAGCACAGCGTCCCAGGTAAACGGGCGGCGGCCGGCGGAGAGTGGCCCGCCGGTTCCTGAGGAAAGCTCAGCTCACCCACAGGGCTGACGGCCTGTTTGTTTGGACGGAACCTCCCGTGTGCACTGGTTTCTTGAAGACTTTTTCCGGGCACGCTCCCCCCGGTTCCGGAGGCGGTGGCCCGAGGGGCGCGCCAAGAAAACCCCTCTTGCCTGGGACACACATCCCGGAATGGAGCCAGGGATTCCTAGCTAGGCCTTTCGGGTCACTTTTTTTGCTTTTCAGTTTTCTGAATTAACTGGCAGTTTTGGAGAGACTCATCCTCAAGAGGATAGGATTTGGGGTTCTTGTCCCTTCATGTGTTCCTGCTTCGTTAACTTTATGTGTTAATTACATAGTCATCTTTTGTGACGTTTTAAAAAGTACTAATCCATGTGTCAGGAGCCCTCGGCCTGGGAAGCTGTCCGTTCATTCATCCCTTACCTGCCCTGCAGCCCTGTCCCCACGCCTTGTCTGGCAGCGGACCTCATGCAACACAGCCTTGGCCTCTGCTCTGAGTGGTATCCCTACAGCAGAGCCTCTCTGACGGCTCAGAGCCGAGGGCCACTCAGAGCTCTGGTGAGGGTCTCCTGGGGAAGAAAACGGGGGCCCAGGGAGGCAGACAGGGGAAACTAGACCATGCAACTCCCTCCATGCTGCCGAGGGACCCAGGGGTGCCAGGCTGGACACCACCTGCTGGGTCTGCTGCCACTCTGACCTGGGAGTCTGTGCTGCAGATGACCCAGGGCATAATCTGATCCTTCCTAAGAGGATTCAGCCTGGCCCTCCTTGAAAACCGCCAGGCGATCTGAAAGCCAGCAGCTCCCCAGGTCGGGGTCTACACCGTGAGGACCCCAAAGCTGCCTGGGAGCTGAGGGCAGAGTGAAAACAAGGGAGAGGAGAAAAGGTGGAAGGAAAGACATGGGAAGGGCGGTGGGGAGATAGGGAAAAGGAGGGGGGTACTGACAACCTCAGATCTGTAAGAGCACCGCATGCCTGCAGTCAGGGGAGTGCTTCTGAGTGCCTTCAGATCCTACTGGGAGCCCTGTCCACAATATGTCACTTAATCCCCTTGCCGCGTAGGCAGTTTTAAACCCATTTTACAGATGAGGAAACAGCCTTAGTGAGTCTAAGGTATGTGCCCATGACTACACAGCTGGAAAGTCCCTTCCTCTCTACTTGCTTGTTCCTAACAAAATACAAACATTTGAAAAAACTTCTCCAGGCGATTTTCTTTTCCAGGACTCTGAAATGTCACTGTTCTTTGGCCCAGAACGTTTCCAGGTCTAGGACAAGTAAGTAGAGACAGTGGGGTATCTAATTCTCACTGGAAGGCAGACCGTGCGTGTGCCCAGACCACTCCCACAGGTGGCAGACACAGGGGAGGACAGTGTGGTTTAAAGCTGGGAGAGTGCAAAAGTGAAAAACCAATTCCTTTTAAAGTTGCATCCAAAAAAAAAAAAACCCTTAGGAATAAACCTGACCAAGCTAACAAAAGACTTACGTGCTAAGAACTATAAAACATTAACAAAGGAAACGGAAGATGATTCAAAGAAATGGAAAGATATCCCATGCTCTTGGATTGGAAGAATTAATATTGTTAAAATGGCTATGGCTATACTACCCAAAGCAATCCAGAGACTTAATGTGATCCCCATCAAGTTACCCATGACATTTTTCATGGAATGAGAACAAATAATCCTAAAATTTATATGGAACCATGGAAGACCCAGAATTGCCAAAGCAATCCTGAGGAAAAAGAACACAGCAGGAGGCATAGCCCTCCCAGACTTCAGACGGTACTACAAAGCTGGCGTAATCAAAATGGCATGGTATTGGCACAGAGACATAGATCATCAGAACAGAATAGCTAGCACAGAAATAAACACACTCACCTAAACATCACTTACTCTTCAACAAAGAAGGCAAGAATATACAATGGGGAAAAGACAATCTGTTTTGCAACTCATGCTGGAAAAGTTTAGACAGCTGCATGTAAATCAGTGAAGTAGAATACATCCTCACACCACACACAAAAAGAAACTCAACACGAGTTAAGGCTTAAATGTAAGACATGACACCATAAAGCCAGAAGAGAACACAGCAAAACATTCTCTGACATAAATCACACCTGTGTTTCCTTAGGTCAGTCTCCCAAGACAATAGAAATAAAAGCAAACATAAATGGGATCTAATCAAACTTACACACTTTTATACAGCAAAGGAAAACATAAACCAAATGAAAAGACAATCTATGGACTGGGAGAAAATATTTGCAAATGATATGATCGACCGACAAGGGCTTAATTTCCAAAATATACAAGCATCTCATATAACTCAGTAACAAAAAAGACAATCAAAAAATGGGTAGAAGATCTAAACAGACATTTCTTCAAAGAAGAAATACAAATGGCCAACAGGAACAATGAACAAATGCTCAACACTGCTAATTATTAAAGAAAACTACAATGAGGTACCTCCTCACACTGGTTAGAATGTCCATTGTTTTTTAAAAGTCTACAAATAATAAATGATGGAGAGGGTGTGGATAAAAGGAAACCCTGCTACACTGTTGGTGGGAAAAACAGCATGGAGTTTCTTCAAAAAACTAAAACTAGAATTGCCAAATGATCCAGCAATCCTACTCTTGGGCATATATCTGAAGAAAACTCTACTTCAAAAAGATGAATGCACTCCTATGTTCGTTGTTTGTTGTTTAATTGCTAAGTTGTGTCCGACTCTCTTGGGACCCCATGGGCTTGTAGTCTGCCAGGCTCCTCAGTCCATGGGATTTCCCAGGCAAGAATACTGGAGTGGATTGCCATCTCCTTCTTCCCTACCTAGGATCAACCCCACATCTCCTGCATTGGCAGGTGGATTCTTTACCTCTGAGACACCTGGGAAGCCCTATGTTCATAGCAGCACTATTTACAATAGCCAAGACATGGGCTTCCCTTGTGGCTCAGCTGGTAAAGAATCTGCCTGCAATGCGGGAGACCTGGGTTTGATCCCTGGGTCGGGAAGATCCCCTGGAAAAGGGAAAGGCTACCCACTCCAGTATTCTGGCCTAGAGAATTCCATGCACTGTATTGTCCGTGGGGTCTCAGAGTTGGACACGACTGAGCGACTTTCACTTTTCAAGACACGGAAGCAACCTGAATGACCATCAGCAGGTGAATGGATAAAGATGTGGTACACAGATACAAAGGATTACTGCTCTGCCATAAAAAGGAACAAAATTGGGTCACTTGTAGAGATGTGGATGGACCAAGAGATTATCACACTAAGTGAAGTAAGTCAGGCAGAGAAAGACAAACACCATATGATATCACTTACATGTGGAATCTAACATACGACGCAAGTGAACTTATCTGTGCAGCAGAAACGGACCCAAAGACACAGAGAACAGATCTGTGGTTGCCAAGGGGGAAAGGAGGTGGGAGAGGGAAGGATCGGGAGTTTGGGGTTAGTAGATGCAAACTCTAAGATACAGGATGGATAAACACAAGGTCTTACTGTATAGCACAGGGAACGCTATTCAACATCCTATGATAAAGTATATGGAAAAGAATATGAAGGAGTGCATATAGATATACACATTCAGTTCAGTTCAGTTCAGTCGCACATATGTATACCCAAATCACCGTGCTATATAGCAGAAATTACCACCACATTATAAATTAACTATACTTCAATAAATTAGAGTAGGGAGAATGCAGAGAAAACAGTCAACAGGGGGGAGCCAAGTGGTCACCTGGGTTTGAGGGGGAGGCCGTGGCCTGAAGTCCTATGTGAACACTGGGCTTTGTGGGCAGGTTGTTGGCAGGGGCCCCCTGCCCGCTCCTGGCCCTGCTGAGAACCCTCTCCTCCAGCTAACGCGAAAGTCCTATCAGCAAGATGGTCTTCTGAAACAGAACAGTTTGGCACGAGGAAAACAGTTTGGTAGGTCCTCAAAAATACACATCCAGCAACTCTACTGCTTGGTGGACATCCCAGAGAACAGAAAATACATGTCTGTGCAAACCTACACCCAAATATTCACAGCAGCATGATTCCTAACAGCCCAGAAGTGGAAATGACCCACCTGCCCATCCATTGATGAATGGATAAACAAAACTGGTCTGTCTATACAGGGGAATATTAATGGTCACAAAAAGGGACAGAATTCAGATACATGTGACAATACAGATGAACGTTGGCAACACGATGCTCAGTGAAAGAAGCAAACCTTTTCTGTTCCTTTGGTTCTATTCCTATGAGATGTTCGGAGTAAGCTAATCCATACAAAGCCAGTTGGTGGTTGCCAAAGGCTGGGGTGAGGGTGGGGGGATGGGAAGTGACTGCAGTTGGGCCTGGGGTTTCTTCTGGGGAGATGAAGATACTCCAGAATTAAGCAGTGGTAATGGCTGTGCATGCCAAAGCATGTTCAAACTACGCACAAATGCACTCATCCCACACGCTAGCAAAGTAATGCTCAAAATTCTCCAAGCCAGGCTTCAACAGTACACGAACCGTGAACTTCCAGAAGTTCAAGCTGGATTTAGAAAAGGCAGAGGAACCAGAGATCAAATTGCCAACATCCACTGGATCATCGAAAAGGCAAGAGAGTTCCAGAAAAATATCTACTTTTGCTTTATTGACTATGCCAAAGCCTTTGTGTGGATGACAACAGACTGTGGAAAATTCTTAAAGAGATGGGAATACCAGACCATCTTACCTGCCTCCTGAGAAGTTGGTATACAGGTCAAGAAGCAACAGTTAGAACTGGACATGGAACAACGACTGGTTTCAGATCGGAAAAGGAGTACGTCAAGGCTGTATATTGTCACCCTTAACTTATATGCAGAGTACATCATGTGAAATGCAG